AGCCCCTTTGTGCAGCCCTGACCCAGCCCCGAGGCCTCGCCAGAAGCATCGCTGGGGTCGGGCAGCCGCGGTGCCGTGGTTCAACCCCAGCCCCTCGCTCGCCCCGGCAGGATGGGGAGAGGCCTGGAGGGGCGACAGAAAACGCGGGGGTTAAGGTAAGGGCGGTGTAAGGGGCGAAGCGGGAAGCGAAGCAAACCAAGGGATTCCTCCCTCCCGCGGGCAGGCAGGGCTCAGCCAGCCCCAGGGGAGCAGGGCTCCCTCGCCAGTGACCGAAGTCCTGAAAGAACGAGAGAACAGACACCTCGAATGAAAACAGGAGGATCTAAGTTATAGATGTAAAATATTTTTATTTGTAAATGCTGATCTTCTAAATCTGTTTCCACAAATTCCAAAACCCATAACACTCTGTATACTTCAAAAAATTCTTTTTTTTGTGTAGTTTTTGTATTTTTTTTGCCAACATTAGATACTATTATACAGAACAGAAAAAAACTGTAGGACAAATACTGGTAGGATGTTGGAATATTGTACAAGAGAAGAAAAATATTCAAGAAACAATTTCATACAGCTATTTATCAAGAGAAAAATATATACAATTGATTTATTCTGTAAGATAAAAATACATCATGCCATATACATTACAAGTTCAGAACTGTATTACTGAATATACCAACAGTTTACAGTCCACTTTAATTGTGCACACAAAAAAAAAAACTTCATTTTTTTTTTTTATATTTAGCCTGTGAAGTGTCAGTACCAGAATTTTAAGTACAAAATAAAAAGCTAACCTGGTTCAAAATGCTGATTAAATTTCTACAAGCAAACACAAAACAGTGTTTATTTTTTTTTTAAAGAAATGTAAACAAAAACAACCCATACAAACACATCTTTAAATTACATTTTCCAAACCCCTATTGCCAGAGTCCTGCAGCTGCAAGCACATGACATCTAATTTTTTTCCTCGTTTTCCTTTTACGAAGGCTATCATATCAGACTTAAGCTCCAACTACATGATTCTATGCTGTTTACATGATTTCATGTAGGCTGAACGGTCACCTAATCTTGACTACTTTTGCTGAAGAAAAAACACTGTCCAGCCTCTATTTTGGGTGGTTTTAGCAGTTATTCACAGTTATCACAAATTGTAAGCACAAAAAAACCTGACTTAAGAAATAGGGATGCAACAATATAATACAAATAAAATTAATATCTAAATTACCCAAACATCTACAAAAGTCAGAGCTGTAATATACATGCCCTTACCAGGCTTAAGGTTTGCTTAAAAAATTTCTCGTAAGACCACAGTTGAGACTGCTTTAAACATAAAACCCCTCTCTTTAAACTGAGATTTTGGTTATGCCGTAGGTGTAGCCACACGCCTGTTAATACACGAGATCATATTGTAACATCCCTATTGACATCTGATAATAAGCACCCGAACTGCTGCAGAGTCTGGTAGCATTTGGTCAATAACTATTTTTATACTGTCTTTTTTTTTTTTCTCAAAATATTTACACTTTTGTACAAAGTAACAGAGTTTGTTAGTTCTGCAGGTAACAGCAGCAGCTTGGCTTTCTTCTAACTTTCTTTTTAAAAATAGCTTCATTCACTTATTCAATAATAAATACAAAAAGGTTCTCTTATTTTACAGAAATCAAAAACTACAATAAACTGACTCATGGAATCAAGTATTTAAATGTATTTTAGTGCAAGTTATTTTTTCCCTTAGCTCTATCCCTAAGGAAGTCGTTTCAGTACATTCCTTGTTCAGTGGTGTCTACTTTTACTTAAAATTTTTCTTTAATTAGAGGGCCTGCCCCTTTATCAAATAAGGCTGTGGCCAGCACTTTGGACTTCTCCCTTTCGCTGGTGATTTCAGTCTTACATTCATAGATGCCCACCTGCCCTCCCGCAGGTCGGCCATCGGTTCTTTGCCCAAGTTAAACAGTTTCTCCTCAGTGAGCTCAAAAACAAAAGTGCTGGACCATTCTGTTACTTCAGTTTAACCTCCACGTCTCTGGAAAGTTAGCTTCGGATTTTGCCGGCTTGCTTCTGGTGCTTGGTGCTTTTTTTTTTCTTTTTTTTGGTTTTTTTTTTTTTCTTTTTAAATACTCGAGTAGAAATCTGTACTTCCAGAAGTGATTTTTTTTTTTCTTTTTTTCCCCTTCCAAAAGGCAACAATTTTCCGTCGACAAAATCAAAAGTGTGAATCACTTCTTCCTAGGGACAAGCAACCCTCAAAGACAGCAAGGAATGCATTCTAGTTCATCCACTTTCGGCAGTTTACAGCTCCACAGTGACATGGAATCTTGTGCTGGTCATCTTCAAAGTCAAACTTGTAGTCGTAGCAAAGCTGGAAGAAGGTGCAGGAGAACGGTTACCAACAGCCGGGATGATAAACCACAGCTTCCCTTCTGCCTCCAGGGGAAGCAGCCCAACACGCACGAGGTTGCGCTGGGAGGGACGGGCAAGGTTTCGAGGAGGGAGGGGAAGGGACACGTCCCATGTCACTGCCCGCCCCGGCCTGAACGCGTCGTGCTGCTGGCCCAGAAATCGCCTGAGCGTCCAGGCCCGACGGCAAGTAGCAACGGGTGAGTAAAGCCAGTGAGCGCCCTACCTCCTCCCCTTTCTGGATTCTCCTGCTGGAGCTGATGATAATTTTGTGTCCTCTCTCAAAAGTCACCACCTCAGCCACGCAGTTCGGTGCACACGAATGGTTGATGTACCTGTGAGGACAGAGTTTGAGAAAGGCAGCCTCTGAGGAAGACGCATCCCTTGAGGCTGATCTAAACCAAACCTCAGAACGCCCTTAGCTTCAGGGGTGCACTGACTTCCCAGATACCATTACATGACTCTATACTTGTTTCTCTACCTAGAAAATGTCAAAAAAATCAAGCGTTAAAGAAAAATTCTGTTCTTTCTTCTTAACTGCCGTGAGACATCATCAAAGATGGGCAAAGCTAATGAAAAAGAAGACATTATTTCAGTGGCACAGCCCGAAGACCGAATGTCCCAGCTCAGAGAATAAACACCATTGAGAACCCCCTGAACTCGAGTCCCTCACAGACAGCCCCAGGCTGGGGAAGGTGGGCGAGTCCCCGGGAGGAGGTCAGAGCTCTCCAGAGCCACCCACCTTGCAGGGCCGCCCGTCAGGGTAGCATCGATGACGTGGTCATTGTCAATGCGGAACATGTACACGCCGCGATTCTGAAAAACAGAATTGGGGAAAAAAACCTCTTGTAGATTTTACAGACGTGTCAGGGATGAAGAGGAAGCGGCCACGTGGGTAACAACGGCCAAGTGTCCTCCTGCGCTCGGGGCAGACATTGGGCACGGGGGAAAGCGAGAGCCGCGCGCTGCCCTCGCCCGCAGGGGTTGGTGGGGGATGATGGATGGGGCACAACCACACGTCTGGCGCGCTGGCATTTCCCTCATCGCTCCCGTACTCTCACCTAAGGAGCCTGACTCGCTTCACTAACGCGTACTGAGTTACACAAAGGAAGTTGCTTTAAATTTCAAGAGGTTCTCACTAAAAATGGAGGTCCTGACACCTCTGTCAGAGCTCTCCCTTGGCCCTCTGGCACAGGGGATACTGCATTACCGACGTGGCCAGCGCGCTGCGAGATTTATTAAGCATTTAAAGACTCTGGTCCTTTGATAAGAAACACTGCAGACCCCTCTGGTTATATTTTTTAGCCTATTGCATTTCTGGCAGAGCAGAAAACAGAAATCAGGGGATCTGAATTCGTCAACTAGAGGAACAGCTTCTGTTTCGTTCTCTGCACGTTGGAAAGGGGAAAGAGGCAGTGAACAGCCACCACCCATACCTGCGATTCATAAAGCTTCTCCTTCCGGTTTGCCACCTCATTCCGGATAATCGTTCCGATATACTCAATGACCATAGTGTGCTTTTCAATGTCCCTAGCAGCATACAAGCCCAGGCCCTGCAAAACACATGTTGCGATTGAGAATTGTGTAAGAAATTTCCCCACCGCGCCCCAAAACCGCTCCTGCAGAAAACCCCGTGAAAATGAACCACCCAGAAGGAACGAAGCAGCACAGAGCAGTGGCTGCTGTTGCGGCGGCCGAGGTGCAGCTCCCAGCTCCACCTCCGGTTTTTAAGATGCAAGAGACCATATTTGGCTTCTGTCTGAGTGAGAAAGCTGCTCTTGCACCTCTGCCACCTGACTGGGGAAGGACTGTAAATTCCCTGAAAAGCCAAGCGGCCTCGCTAGAACGGAGCAGCCCGAGGGACGGCAGCAGCCCCCGTAACTCCCACCTAAAATAAACAGCAGCTGCCTTCACAGCCAGCCGGTAAGGTGAGCTGCCAGGCTTCTGCAAAGTGCTCTGTGGAACAAAACACCCTGGAGCAAGTCACCAATGGAATTACGTAAAGCAACAAATTTCTTATTATTACGAATGCAAACAAGCACTGAACTCATGCGAGTCTCACAGCACTTTACTCAGCTTGGTGTGAGCACATCACACTTCCACTGACTAGTTTTATTTTTGTTGTTTTGCTAAGTTTTTGAGAAATATGGTGGAAAAAAAAACAAACCCAAAACTTGAAATTTTTTTCCTAGATCACTGGAACAAATGAATTTTTGAGATATTTACAGTAATTAGACAGAAATTTTACATAAGATAAATCTATGGAAGTGATTTGCTGCATCAAAATTGCCAATTTTGGGACAAGACTTGAAGGATTTTCACAATAGCTTTAAGTTCAATTTTTAATATAAATTTTATATAAGTATTTACATGTAAAATCTATATAAATATAAAAACTATATTAAACCAGATCTAAATAAACGTGTAAGTAATTTTTTAAAGACACATTGCCTCAAACGAGAACCGACCTGGATACGAGAGCGAGCTAGATACACGTTGGACTTCCATTCAGTTTTCATTTTGCGGTACTGAGAGGACTTGGAATGGACGAACTGCTTACTGTAAGGCGCGTTCAGCTCTCCCGTAACTGTGCTCTGAAATGACTTCGATGTGCTGGTGCTATTCAAGGTGTGAGGCCTGTAGGAATTGGGCATGTAACAGGAAAGAATACAAGAAAAACTGAAGATTTCTCTGAAAAGAGCCACAAAACCCATTAAAAATTCTTTCAGACGTACAGACACTTAAAGCCAGCTAGCAGAGACAACACAGCGATCCCTTTGGTTTGGGCATGCACATACACAGCCAACGACGACAGGGTTTGTAAGCAGCAGACGAAAGCACAAATAACCCTAAGCAGCCTATAAACCCTGGGCTGTACTATGTGAAATTAAAACAAAATACCTTAACACAAACCTCTTGACATGGGTACTCATTTTAGGCTCGGCACGGGCACAGCCCGTGGGGTTGATGGCAAGAGGGAGTTCCATTAAGGGGTTTCGGCCATAGCGGAAAGTGTAGTTCTCACAGGCCTCAACCCCTGGCAGCTGCAAAAAAAACAGACAAAAAGAAAACAAGTCCAAGTAACTGCATGTTCCTCGGGCGTAACGAAATATTTACTCTTCCACGCTGCTTCCTGTTCCCCTTCTCATGTGCACAGCCAACAATTTGGGGTGATCCAGGAAGAACTGGGATGGTGACGACTCACCGATTCGGCAATCCTGGCCACGGCAGAGACTGTCAAACCAAAGAGGTCTTCGCCCTTCAAATAGCCGGGAAACAGCTGGAGCATTTCAGACTCTTTTCTAACAGAAGCAACGGGCTCCAGGATTTTATCCCACACACCTACACAGCCATACGGGAAAGAATCACAGTGATCAAAAACCTCGAGGTCCATTGCACTGGATTTCAAACGAAGGCCTGAGGGTGTCAGGAAGCAGAAACCAACGCTGAAAAAGCGTTTTGTTGTGGGTTGCATACAGGAACGGGACGGTGTTAAAAAGTGAAGGGGAGTTGCTAATTTTTCCTGAACAAACCCCAAACAAGCACAACATTCCCACTGCACCCTTGTTTCTCTGGAATGAAGCGTTTAGTATTTGCAGCACGGAAACTTTGAGTCCTCTGACAACCTTAACAGAGACCCATTCTCCCAAAAAAAGCTGCACAAAGTACCGTTTTCTGAACATAAACTACCTATTCTGTTTCCATTCATTGATCACAGTCAGCTCTCGGCTGTATGTGGGCAATTCCCGAGGCAGTGGGGACTGGACAGAGCGAGGCTGAGTGGGTCGGCACCCGCAGCACGACGGGTTAAGGCCCAGGGCACAGGCCATGGGCACGTTCACCTGCCCTGTTCCTAAGACCTGCCCTTACATTTCTGGTCTCATGTATTCCTCTCCGCCCTGCTGAAGACAGCGTGGTCAACTCAACTCTCTTTTTATTGCCTACTGACTTCAGCACAGCTGATCTGAAGGTAACTGAGTAACGGTATCGTAGTTAAACAAAATCTCCTCTGTGAACTTGTAACAAGTCGTCTTATTTGCAGCTTACACAATTTCTCCAAAGGTGTCCTCAGTCTTCATAGCACCGTATGACAAACGGGCCCTGGCAGCTCACTGTAAGCATTACATCAGAACAGCGTCTGCAACGTTCGTTTGAAGCTTTTTCATACCACCAGTATCAGCAGTAACAAACAAACAGCAAACCCACAGAAGTCACGATCTTCGTTCACAACGCTTACCTTTTGGTGTTGTGTCAGTAAGGACCAGATCTTCGTGGCCTTGCTCCACAACCTTGATGACAAATAACGGAAGCCCGTCCTTCTCCTCGATCGAACAGAGATAGCGACAGCGCCTGTTGGCGTATCTCATGCTCCAGTACAACCGGCTGGCCTCGTAACCCACGGGGAAGAGTGCTTTTGAGGAGTGGAAGGCCTGCATCTGCTGCGGCAGCAGCTGCCCGACCGCGTGGAAAATCAGGCTTCCCACACGGAAAGTGTGGTCACGTTCTCCTCGCTGAACGATGCTGGCGATCTGCCGCACTTCATCGCGCTGAACGTAGACCCTCCTGAAGACTGCAAAGTAACTAAGTTCTTGCTCATGAGTTCCCTTTGGTTTGTGCATGGGGCAAAGCATGGTCTTGTCTTTAAAAAACATGCATTGTGCTTTAATGGCACAGGTAAAGTGATAAATATTGGTGCACCTTAACCTGTGACAACCGCTGGTGGCACCCATTTTGTGACAAAACATGCATTTCATTTGCAAGCCTCTTCGCAGTGCTAGTTCCACGTTTATTAAGGCACCAGCTTGTGTCTCGTAGACTTCTGTAGACCAAAGAGCACAGTTCAAGTGGACCCAAAGGTCTAAATCCAGGTTAAGAAGCCTTGCTGGTCCATCAGTTAATCCATCACCTTCCTCGTGACAGAAGCAACATTTCCTGTAGTCTTTAGGCACAGGATCTGGTTTAAGGGTTGTGCCCAGTTTTTTAAGAAATTCATCTATTTCTTCTTCACAAGGAGGTTTGAATGATCCTTTAGGAATCACAATCTGAATGCTCCACTTTTTCCATTTCATTCCTTTCCATTTCTTACTTGGAGGCCGACAGTCATCAAGACTACTGTGTATTGCTTTTAATCGAGGTTTTAGTTTCACCGTTACCTTAAGCTCATCCGGTTTTGCCTCTACCTTGGCTGCTTCAAACGCAGGGGGGAACATGATGGGGGGTGATGATGGCGGAGAAACTTTTTCCTGCAGCTGAGGCAGACAGTGGACGTCCAAAGTGGAGATGTTGTTGCTGTACTGATGGAATGCTTTAGGCGGCCTCTCTTTCATCGGTGACTGCGGCAGAGATGGAACTGCTTCCTGCTAAATCAGTAGAAAACTCTTAAGAAACAAATCCCAAACCATTAACTGTTACATGTATCTTGAAAACACCGTCAGGTCGGTAGGGAAGAGGCTACTCAGAATGCCTAAAATCATGATGCAGCAACTGAGACGGATGGAAATTCCCCTGACTCATGTTACCACAGCTTGTGCCGGGATACGGACCACAAAAATTCCCCCAGTCGACCTAGAGCGTGGTGCTTTTTAATACAGAAGAGGAGACACGACCACTCCTTTGTCCAGGCTTTGAATGAAAAACTACTCAATTGCCCTACAGGAGCGAACTGACAGATTTAGTTCTTAGCTATTTTCAGAATGTTTTGTTGCAACACAAAATAACCTTAAAATACGGGTCACAGAATTAATTCAAAGAGTAAGAATCTTGTTATTTGGTAGAAGGGGAAGATTTGGCATTAATGCCACATATTTTTCCTGGAAGCAAGTGAGGAGGAAATTCCTGCAGGGCTCTAGATTAGATACACCTTGAGGACTTCAAGTCCTCCCAGTAAACAAGTCACATAACAGTCACGGTAAACAAGAATTACACCTGCAGAGATTTGTTGAAAAAAATAAAATAAAAAGGAGAGAAAACAAGAACAACAAAGGATGTTTAGATTAAAAAGTGCTTAATGTGGTTTGTATGATTATTCTTGAAAGAGTAAATGAAAGGATCAAGGGGCTGAACATGGCATTTAATTAACTGAATTATGTACGTGCTGATGCACTTGTGCAGAACTGTTACCCTGTTCAAATACTAGTGAAAATGAGCTACAAGGGGCACTAAAAGGGTGGGGATGTACAGACATTCATCTCCTCCTCCTGGATTGGGGTTTGTTTTTTTTTTTACTTCCTTCTGACAAAGCAAGTTGGATGCATTTGAAGGCAGGCTGCAAATTCTGCAGTAAACACAGGACTATGAGAAAGCATTAATCAGGTAATGCTTGAAGCCCATGGCCTGTTCTGTCCACTGGTTTAGGGAAAAAAAGGTACATTTGAACTAGAAAAAGTAGAAACCAAGCTAGTTAAAAGAAGTACTCAAAAAATTTTATCTATGAGTAAATAAACTTCACAGGATCCTTTACTCTTGAATGAAGACTATTCCATGAAGATACTCAGGGGGCTGGAACACCTCCCCTGTGAGGACAGGCTGAGAGAGTTGGGGTTGTTCAGCCTGGAGAAGAGAAGGCTCTGGGGAGACCTTACAGCGGCCTTCCAGTGCTTAAAGGGGGCTACAGGGAAGGTGGGGAGGGACTCTTGATCAGGGAGGGTGGTGATAGGATGAGGGGTAACGGTTTCAAACTGAAAGAGG